AAAGGCCTGCCGGATCGGTTGCTTTTCGCACAGGCTTCCCTCGCTGCAGAGGAAGCGGCAGATGATCCCGATGGATCACAGCGGTTGAGACAAGTGTTTTGCAGAGATGACACGTGGCCTCCAACCAACAGAACAACCCATTTTTTCTTAAAAAACGTGTATTTAGTAGTTATTAACTAGTGCTGTTACAAGAGGAGGCCGAATGCACAGAGTCCTGCTCCCTCCACATCCCGAATGTCCCGGAGTCGCATCCCCCCAGCAGAGCTCCAGCCCCCAAGCCACGCCGGGCGAGCAGGACCTCCTCTGCAGTTCATCCACTCTCATCTCAAGATCAGCACTCTCCCCAACCAGACAAACCCCATCATCTGTCAAGTTCTCTTTTCTTTTTTCTCTCTCTTTTTTTTCCCCCCCAAACTGATGCCTTGCACGGAGGGTTATTCTTCACCTTCCTGTGGCTGCCTCAAAAAAAACCCCCACCAACCAACCCCATACAGCTAAAACGGCGTTAGAGGAAACTGTTTCCGACAGCTCTCGGTGCCCCAACCTCCTCTTCGCTTCGTTTTTTTCTCCCCTCTATACTACGGGGACTTTAAAAGCTCAGCCTGGCCCATCACACGACCGAAGTTTGCTGCCGCTGCTGCTTTCTACGAGGAGTTTCCAGGCGATCAGGTTATTTCCACTCTTGTCTTTCATGAGCTCAACTCCTCAAACTTCTTGTAAAATATTAAAGATGGAAAATGGCACGAGCGATCATAGCTCTGCGTGTGTCAATTTATGTTTCCAGCGTAATTCACCACAAATGGATCATGTTTTATGGGCTACATAGTTTCAGCTAATGGGGGAGTTTTTCTATTTAAAAACATTTTCAAGCACCTCTGGGGGTGGCAGAACAAAGCAGGATGGTACGAGAAGGCGAAGCATCGCTGCTACGAGATACTGACAATTTAGACTTGGCAATAGGAAGGCATCTTGGGTTTTACAACATCTACCCCTGCCTACCGGTTTGGATATTAGAAAATACTAAAATAAATTAGATGGATATTAATTAAAGATGTGCCTGAGTTTATTGGATAGGAGCTTTATTTCTACCGAAAGAGAGGGAAGTTTTGCAAGTTGTCAACAAAAAACTAAGGTATCTCTGAAGGAGCCTTTAGGAGAGATGCTCCAGGTGCCTTCAAAGAGGAAGACCATGGTCATCTTCCAGCGCATGGTGCTGGGTGAGGACCCAGCTGCACCTTCCCGAAAAAGGGCAAGGCAAGGCAAGGCAAGGCAAGACAAGACAAGGCAAGGCAAGGCAAGGCAAGGGAAGGCAAGGCAAGGCAAGGCAAGACAAGGCCAGGCAAGACAAGGCAAGGCACGGCAAGGCAAGGCCAGG